GTCGAGACCGTACACAGCTTATGGTATATCATCTAAGGCTGATTATAATACTTGGAGACCGTACACAGCTTATGGTATATCATCTAAGGCTGATTATGATACTTGTCGAGACCATACACAGCTTATAGTATATCATCTAAGGCTGATTATGATACTTGTCGAGACCGTACACAGCTTATGGTATATCATCTAAGGCTGATTATGATACTTGTTCGAGACCATACACAGCTTATGGTATATCATCTAAGGCTGATTATTACCATAAGCTGTGTACAGTCTCGAAAAGTATCATAATCAGTCTTAGATGATATACCATAAGCTGTGTACAGTCGACAAGTATTATAATCAGCCTTAGATGATATACCATAAGCCGTGTACGGTCTCGAAAAGTATCATAATCAGCCTTAGATGATATACCATAAGCCGTGTACGGTCTCGAAAAGTATCCAGTCTCAACAAGTATTATAATCAGCCTTAGATGATGTACCATAAGCTGTGTACAGTCGACAAGTATTATAATCAGCCTTAGATGATATACACAGCTTATGGTATATCATCTAAGGCTGATTATGATACTTGTCGAGACCGTACATGGCTTATGGTATATCATCTAAGCACTCATGAAAATTGCTTTGTGCTATAAGTTATTATTTTCTCTTTCTACAACACTAATGATGACAGAATAGCAGTCTTGTGTTCCCGATAGGTGTTTTAAAATTAACAACTGTTTTTATTCCTTTGTCAGAGTAAGATTAATTTTTTTTTTCTGTTTTCTCTCAGAAAAGAGAAGAAAAAACTTTTTTTTTGTTAAGTCTACAGCAAAATGTGATTTATATATATTTTTTCTTGTCCTCGACAACTTTAAATACAATATAATAACTGTATGACATAGATTTTATCATTTTTGTATTAAATTAACTATCGGGATTTTACGTGTTTTCTGCATCTGTTTAACGAGGCTTGTAACCTGAATTGCGATAAATTTCTTTAATAATAAGATTTGTAATTGTTTCATAGTTCGTGTTAAACTCTGGCATTAGAAATATAAAAAGCTTATACTGGTGCATTTGAGAACTGAACGAAAATTTAGGGTAATAAAAAAAATGCAAGCTTCTAAGATGTCGTTAAAGCTTATGATCTTAAATTGTCTTTTATGAGAGAAAATCAAAAACTTTAGCCCATGGGCACCACAGAAAGTAAATTGAAAATAGTTCGCTGTATATATAAAAACACTTCTGTTGTTGGATATGTATGCTATAACTTATCAAACAGTAGAAAGAGTTGATTATTTATGGTATAGGATTTGTTGATAAGTCACATAGGGGACACATTTGACATAAGTATCTTGTAGACAAAAATAGAAATAATATTTGTCATGTTAAAGTGGTGGAAAATGTGTTTGTTATTCAACCAATCAGTATGAGAAGCTGACTTAAGTATGTAATAATATTTATTAACAGTTTTTATGGCAAATATAGTCCTGTGACATTAAAATGGTTTGTCAACATATATATTTGGGAGGAAAAAAAAATGCTCTCAGTTTTTTTGTGCCCATGGAATTACCCAAATTAAATAACTGTGTTTAAGTTACAGAACAAGGGACCTTTTAATATCAATGGGTCTCTAACTTTATTTTGTATTCTACATGGGATGGTTCCACATACAAGTATCTATTCTTGTGGTTGTTTTTGTAATTATCCCATGCACTTCATTCAGACTCAGTTTATAGTATTTGTATTAAATCGTCATAGCCAATCAAAGGCCAGCTATTAAAGGAAATTATCCCCTTTTTTTGTTTTTATAGCATACTGATGGGGTTTTACCTAGAACAAATGTAACTGTAAATAAGTACAAAGAGAAATGATGATTAGGGTTTCACGATACAGTTTTGGGATTGAAGGAACACCTTCTTAATGCCTGTATTTCTCATTGTACTAAGCAGTTAATGGTTTTTAGAGAAACAAATACCGAAACCTTGTCCCACCACTTACTAAGCCTATTCAGTCCATTCATTATCTTTTTAAACAAAATATGCTAAAATAAAAGAGCCATCTGTAGAAGTATTTATTTTATTAATGGTCAGTTAAAATAATTGCACGTTAGTGATGAGATAACCAGTGGACAAAGACCTTTTCATAAATGTTTTAGTTGTGGGAGAGAAGTAGTAGTAGTCTTAAGTATATTCTACAGATAAATATATCATAAAACACAAATATTTCTTTAGCTAACATTATGTATGTATAAATCATTTATTGCCTTTTTATTTGAACTGAAGGGTGTAATCTACTTTTCAAGATTCCTTTTATGTTTGATTTCTTATTCAAATTGTATATTTTGTGGTCTATAATGTTTGTGACGAAAGACGCCAGTGTTATCGAATGGAAGCTAGGACTAACCATAGTGTAGTATCTCATTTAAATGTGATATTCACAGGTCTCTGCCTTTTATCGTTTTCATCGCTCCTTAAGAGAGACGAAATCTTTCAAAGGAGCTGCTTTATTTATAGCTAGCACTTAAGCTACAATTTATCCTTACCTTAGTGTAATGAGACAAGGGATTGCTGGCGTTTATCTGTAGGGGAAAAAAAGAAATTAATTATTTTGATGGATTCCACTGTTTCATTTGATTGGAAACACTTCGCCCCATTCAGCATCTTCTACGTGCAGGTAGTGATTTCATTTAAAGTGCAATTTTCAATCAAGGTTTTGTTTTGAAAGCTATTTCTTATATTTCTGTGTTAGATATTTAGAAGATGCTCTAAGATGATTATTTGTATTGTTTGAAAGAGAGAGAAAAAAAGTAGTTTCGGCATAACCCATTGTTTTGAATATTCATTGTACATTGTGTAAAGTAGGTTTTATCTGACTTTTTAATGTTATGGAAGTATCGAGAAAATGATCTTCGTGTATTTGTGATCGTGACTAGCGATTTTGTGGCTCCGTACTTCTCGAACTCGCAGGCACAAGTTTGTTGATGTGACTGAATAAATTAAAAGTTTTTCAACACTCCCCCTCCATTTTCCAGCACCTGATGCTTAGCTACGTAGTGATCACTTATATCGAATGGACATTTCCCATCATGCTCCAAATGAATATTACTTTCCTAAGCCTTGCACCCGTTACTTTAGCCCGTGTGAAATATGTTCAATATATTTAACAGTGAACGAAAGTAGCTTGAAAAAATACGGTGTTTCTGTGGTGCTTGTGAAGGTTTTCTTTTTAAATAACTTGTATAAAATGTTCACGTAAAGACTTTTTATTGCTCTTTTTGTAGATCATTGCGTGAGTGGATGTTCACTGATTCAATTTTTAGTTCAGAAAAGGTAGTTGGTATTGTTATTTAATATGCCTTTCTACATAACTTGGCCTAAATTAAAATTGTAAGATAAATTAATAATCAAAATGCTTAACAAAAAAAAACCTTTGTTATTTTTATTTTTTAACAAGTACTTGTCTCTCTTTCAGCTTTTTTGTCTAGACGTATGAACTTATAAATATGTAATTTTTAATTTTGGGTTTTAATATAGAATCAACCAGGGCGATATTTTTTTTCTGAAATCTTACGTCACCTTAGAATTTTCAATGAAAATTTCTTGCCCTACCCACCTCTGGCTTGGACATAATATAGGGCCCAAAAAAGTTTATTATTTTTCTCGTGAAAATATCGATTTCCTGTCACTATTTTACCATGGTAACGGTTAAAATATCGTCCTCGAATCAACAAGGATTTGTAATTATGAATAATTAATTTTACTCGCTAAATAATTTGGAAGTAATTGGTCTAAACATTTGAACCCAAAACGCGAAATACCCGCTTATCGTCTGGTGCAGAAGGAACGGTGTTTATCAATAAAAGTGTGTTTACTAAAACTACCAGTCTATAAACAATGGTAAGCGGTATCTTAGGTGTTGGTATTACCAACATATATATAAACCAACTGTTTAACTAATGAAGAATTTCAGTGGTGTTGGTTGAGTATGATTTTTAAACTTATCATCTTTTGTGTTATAGTAGTTACAATGCACAAAAGTAGTATTTTTATATTAGCTGCACATAAGTTTTAAAATTTGTTGTCTATATTGTATATTTACAGTTTAAAAGAAATAAACCAAACTGAATGGAAGAAAGCTTGAAAGAAACCCTTATTTTAAACGATACCCAGGAATTACAGTAAATGGGTGTAATTAATAGGGGATGTTTTGGGGCAAAGCGTGTCTGTTTTTCATATCTAGAAATTGTTACAAGTTAGTAATGTAAATGAACACTAGGGGGCGCTTTAAGTTTAAATGCATAATTAACCCTTATTGCACTCGATACAAAATTTACACTGTTTTATGAGAAAGTTCTAAATGGGTCTACTGATGTTACTATCAGTACTTCGTATCAAATAGCGTGAAACTATTCAAAATGTTTAATAAGTGGACTTTCTACTTAAGAAAAATAGTCAACTATTCGTAAGCGCTCGAGTTTTGGGTCTCGTTTGAAAATAATAAGTTTACTGAGGGTGTTCTACCACGTTGTAACGTAACTTTGGATAACTACGTCAAGTTGATAAACTAATAATCACGTAAAGAACAAAACAAACATTGCTCTGTTCACATGTAATTAGTTCACTTGAACAGAAAATGAGAATATTTATTTTTTACAATTACAAATTTTCCTTCCCTGGCGGCAGAACCGGGGAGGGCACTCTGAGGACACATGTCCTTCCCACTTTTTTTTTGTCAAAGTAATAAATAGAAATTAAAAGTTATAACATTAGAAATACCCAGTTGTAAAACAGTAAAAATTATAACATTAGAAATACCCAGTTGTAAAACAGTAAAAATTATAACATTAGAAATACCCAGTTGTAAGACAGTAAAAATTAT